CCGATGCTGCCTGGAGTGACATGCAGTCATTCTATGTGAGAAACACAGCTCTCTATTTACACTTTTTATAAAAGTTAACTGAGGGATAAAAGGGATAAAATCCTCCTCTGGGATACTTGGCTATTTCCACACGATTAACTTAAACCATGTTCTCTATATATTTTTGCATTATAGGGGGCACATCCATATTTTTCATATTTACATATTCAAACATTCCTTTGAGTTAACATGTTCTTTTGTTTTTACTTTGGTTTTACTTTTTGGTTTTAACTTTGACTTGTCTTCATGTCATCTTGTAAATTAAACTAATATATTTTATTTTTTCTTGTGATTCTATATTCTTGTATTTTCACTCCCTTATAAAGAGGGAAAATAAATTGTTCTCTTTCTTTAAGTGCTCTGGTTTCTGTTATTTTGTCTTTCTGATAAGAAAGTCCCTGAATGTGGGAAATCACTTAATTATTTTACACCATTTTCTGAATTATTTACAAGAAAAAATTATTTCAACATTTCACAGTCTCTATTATGCTACACTATGTAATAGTATGTATTACACCACTATTTATAAAAGCTATAGGGAGCATACATAAGCTGACAGATTATACTGTATCAAAAGCAGTAATTACATTGTGTACTATATCAGGATTTTTGTGATCAATAATAATTTGCAAAACAAAAGTTAATACATAAATGCAAAAGCCAATAATTATGCTTGTTTTTTACAACATTATACAACAAGCTTGATCGAGAAATCCAAATCACCCTGGGCTCTTGGAAATCATCACAAACTGGCCTGAAGGTGACACTTTTGGACTGTCCTTGGAAGATGTGAGAAATGACCCTCACTTTTAAAATTTTACAGGTTTATTTAACCTTAACCAAAAAATACAACAATGGACAGAATAAGGAGAAATAGCAGTGCTGGGGGTCTCTGTGACTGTCAGCCATGTGCTCATTTACAAAATGCATGCTCTGCCTTTTATACCCTCAGCCCCTCCCAAAGCTTTGTCAGTCAGTATCATATTTCTCTTTTAAATTGTTAATTATCATATTTCTCTTTATCTTTCTAAGAAAAAAAGGGTGGGTGTCGTATTCCATTTTGTTTAAATGGTATGCTCTGTCTCACCCCTCCAAAATGTATGGTATATTCTAAGCCTGTGGTCCTGCCCTGAACCATCCTGTACCTGTAATCCCATTGGCCCAATGTGATTCCGCGCCCACTTCAATTCCCCTCTTAAGCTGTGCTATGAGATCAGTCGCTCTTTTAGCCCTTCCTCTCTCTCAGCCTCTTCCCCCCCCTTGCCCCTTCCCTCCCCTCGGCTCCCCCTCCTTCCCCCTCCCTCCCCATTCTCCCTCAGAAACCATGCTGCTCCCGGGGATGGGAGCCCCAATAAACCCTCATCTGATCAGCCCCTCAGAAGCCGTGTGGAGGAGTCTCCTTGCCTGCCTGCTGCTACCAGAGAACTCTCACCCTAGGGGGCCCTCCGGGGACATCCCGGGGTGCCCCCACCCCAAAACGAACCGCAACAAGTCAGCTCCTCCTCTGCCCTGCACTGGTGGAGATCACTTCCCTACACCTTGACTGGAGCTCAGGTGTTGTCCTGTCGCCCTCCTGGTGAGGAGCCGGCCCTCCCCAAATGCCCTGACTTAAGTGTGAGAGCCAACCACCACATCATTCATCTATAAAAAAACCCTCTTTTCTTTTTCTATGAGTCATTTGGTTTGAAGAATTAACTGTCATTTTGAATTCTGATAATTCATCCTTACTTCTCAAAAATATTTTTTAATGAGTCATACTAGTATCTGTTGATGAGGGTGAGGACAGTGGGAAGAGAAGGAAAAAATCTCAGGTTTTCTTTAGCCACACTTATTTGGAATGGACAAAATGAGATCACTGAGGTCTGGCGTGGCTTTTTTACCCCATCTGCCGTGCCTATGGGATTGCTACTCATAGCAGGTGGATCTCAGTGGTGAGTACAGAGACAACTCAGTCTTGCCCTCTGGTTCCTGTTGCATTAAAAGGCAGCTGAGCAGTGACAGAGATCTGGGGTGCCTTTCTTCCCCCACCTTACCATGCCAGTGGGCTTGCTGCCCGCAGCAGGGCCATGGAATCTTCTCGGTGGTGCACACAGGGGCCAGCTGGGCTTGTCCTCTATTTCTTGTTTCACTCTACTGGTTGGTCCTTAGGGAAACTGCCCCAATACCTCTGATGGTTCCCTGTGTACTTCCTCTCACCAGATGCTTGTGATTCTCATCTATTAAAACAGGAAAATTACATCAATAAATGATACAGTTCAAACTCCCTGCCCAAAGTGTTAGTTAATCCTCAAGCTGGTGGAAGCTCGACTCCACTTTTGGGACATTTCAGTCTTCCTTGGTTGGCTCTCACCTGCTCAGGATGTTACAGTCTATCCTTTGGGTTCTCTCACCAGCCTTTAACTCTGTTGCCGTCAGTCCGCTCTCGCTCTGTGGCTGGCAGGGCCCATTCAGCTCTTAGGCAGAAGGATGCTGGCAAGCCAAAAGGATTTCTGAAGCAGCCCTAACTTGCAGCACCTGGCTGCCATCCATCAAAAAGGAAAAGTGACTTCTGCAGCCTGAGGGAGCCAAGTGATCTGCTGGCAGGAGAAATCAGGAATGGAGAAGGTGATTCCAGCTCTGCTGTTTGCTCTTCCTCCCCGTGAGACAGGAGAGGATCAAGCACATTCCATCAGCCTTTGCTGCCTCGGGCCATGAAATCTCTGAGGAGACAAGGCCACTCAGGACATCAGATCCCACCTGGGAGAAGGAAATGCTGAAAACCTCCCCATGGTCTCAGACA